TTCGATTCCCGGTCAGGGAACTACGTTTTTTTTTCCCTCTGTAAATTATCGTGCAATAAATGACTGGAAGTAATAAAAAAAAACAATGATTTTGTAGTCATTACAGTAAATGGGTATATCCACGGTTTTGTATTTTAATACTGCTACAGTTTAATACTGTAGTAGATGTAGATGTTTTAGTTTTTAGCAAAATGATAAAAGCCTATAATGTGCCTCGTTTAGAAATTTAAGTTTACACAAAAGCAGATGTAACATTGACCTATTGTGGGTAGGCCTACTGATTCCTTGACCCAAGTTCAAAACCCAAAAATATCTTTATCTACTTCTCTTGGATATTCTACTTTTGGTTTTTGATTTGCCTCTGCTAATTGTTAAATGAATAGAGATGAGATGAATTGCGGGTTCTTAACCTTTTGGGCTTTGCCAACAATGGGTACTTGTCACCAATAGAATTGTGATTATATTTAGGTTTACAGTGTCATTTTAATCATGTTTTTATGGTCAGACCAAATTTGTAACACTGTACACTGTAATTTGTGTAAAAATGTCAGATTAACAGCTGAAAAATAATTTTGCAACTTTTAAAGGACCAGTGTTTGGGACGATCCATGGGCAGAAATTTTATATAATGTTCAAATGTATGTTTTCATAATCGCCTGAAAATAAAAGTTGTGTTTTCTGTTTTTATGTACAGAGGGAACAGGTCCTCTTCCATAGTGTCTGCCATGTTGAACCTCCATGTTTCAACAGTAGCCCAGAAACATCAAACCATACACTGACTCTAGATATGGCCTTTTGTGTTTCCCAGCCACCATACTTTCACTGTAGCTTCACACTTGGAAGGCTGAGCTGTAGTCTACAGCTTTACTGCTAGATATCACTGAATTACACACACTGGTCCTTTAAATGGTTTCTTAAACCATCTTGAGCCCAATCAGAACAGTACACTTTGTCACCTCTTGACCACCTCTGGAGTTAGTATACCGCTAGGTGGCGACACTTCACAATAAATGGTCCCAGAGACCGAGGTCAACCAAAAATGGGGAAGAGGACCTGCTATTAGGTATAAAGAACAGTGATGAATAAATCACATTAAAACAGTGTCATAAGAACGCTGTAACTTACTTATTTTATTTGTCTTTATAAGTTAAATAAAACAACAAACAGCATTTAAAACAGGGAGGGAGACTATTTAGTGTCTTTAACATTTGTTGTGAATAATTTAATACGTTTTCTCGCAACACTCTAAGTCCAGAATTCACTACATATTTGTGACATTAACTCGAGAGTAACTTTGATGTAAATGTAATGCAGTGACGGTTTTCTATCGCTCCTTCCATTAAAGCTTAGTTGAACTCAACCCGTTTGAGATAGAGAGCAATGAGACAGAGATAATGTGCTTGTGGAACTTGGGTCACAGAGAGCCCTCCAAGGTGGGGAAAGACAGAGACCCCGGCTGCAGGCCCGTCGATTGGACAAGGCAGGAGTTAACCAGTTCCTGGCTGGCTATGTATCTTGGCAGTTATTTTGACAGGCGCTATCATTGTGAGAGAGGAGATAAGTTGTCTTAGGGATCGCCATGGCGCCGGTGTGTCCCTCCTCCGTCCTGTTCAGCCTCTCATCAACCCCTCTCCACCCCCTCCTCTCCCGACCCTGCTTGGAGCAAAGGATTGTGGGGGACTGTTTAGTTGGGAGCAGGGTTTGTGTTGGCAGAGACCCTGGGGTTCTGGGTATCATCGTCCCCCTTTAAGACTATGTGACAAGTAATGAGACACCCAAATGTCGCTGTCCACCTTATTTTAAATTCTCCCTCTTGCTCTTTATTCCCTTAGCTCAAATATTTTTCTTTGAATTTTAATTGCAAGTTATCTTTCATTTTCTGCTTTTCCTTCCTGGTGGCACAGCTTTGGAAACACAAAGATAGAAAAAGGAAATTGCGTTGAGGTAGAGTAGCACAGTTTCACAATATTTTAAGCACACACAAAAAAAAAGCCACGGATGAGCTCTAGTAAACTTTTGACTCTTTACTGAGTAATGTTTTCAAGATGTGGGTCTCAGACATGGCTATAATAATAGTCTTAGTCCATCAAATCTACAGCGTCCCTGGTCTCCCTGTCATATAAGATCTGTACAGTATACAGGTAGTCTCATTTCAGCCTCTGATATTAGAACTTTTACGGTACTGTTCCGTTATGGCTCACAAACAGCTTGGTATCTATTTTTGTGTTAATATTACTGCTACACAGGGGTATTCAGTTTAGGTCCAAACACACACACACACACACACAGGAATTTATGTTGCAGAGGATGAGCAGAAAAGGAACAAAAGAAAAGATGGAGCATATTTTCAGGACAGAGCGTCTCTTCATGTGTTCCTGTATGTGCCAGCCAGCAGTACCATATAGTGCATATAGTACATATATAAAAAATAAGATAGATTATCTTTACTTTATTTTTATTTACACATATGTGTGTGTTAAAATAGGAGATTTAAACTGTCCTAGTGGCAACTGCAGAAACTAAAACCCTTTTTCATTTGATTCAGTGCCTTGTTTTGTTAAGTCAGAGCAAATACAGATAATATCTTTTTCAACTGTTGTAGTCACAAAGGTCTGACCCAGCACAGGCCTTGGAGAGATTTAAAATCATTTTCCTCAGACGTCATACACTTGTAGCTTAGACTACAACCACTGATAACTTCAAGTACACTGTGGCAGTATGAAGCTTCAAAACCTAAACACTGAAAAAGGATATGTCACACAAATGATAATTAATAGGAAATATGTGTCGTAATTCATTATAATGAACTAAACCTGCGGGGGAAAAAACAGAGCTATATTTAAAAAAAATCTGCCATCAGACTGTTTTTATCTGTATGTTTATAGGAAGATGTTAGAATGCTGACAGATTGTTGTGAAATAAACCAATTAGGACAAGAAATCTTTGAGAGCGAGTTGTTATTAATGAAGCTAATGACAGCAACTGTTAAAAATCAGGATTGAGAGTCCCACTTACGAACCTCAACAGCCAACAACTGTGACAGATTTATAAGCGTTCACATTTAGTTTGACACGAGGAAGAAAGTAGATTTTATTTCCAAAAGTCACTGAAATTTAAATTGATTCTGTTGTCAATTCATGTTCCACCTTTTCTTGTTTTATTGATTCACTGATTACTAAATTAAAATTCACAAACTATTAATTGTGTAAATGTAGAGATTAGTTGTGTCATTTACACAGTTAGTGAATAAATTGACCAAGCTAATGCTAGCTTGCAAATATATGACCCGTTTAGGGTGAAGGGTAGTAGACTAGTGGTTCCGACCCTGGGGGTCGGGACTCCCACTAGGGGTTGTCAAAACTTCACAGGGGGTTGCGAGGCCTTCTTGATTTTAAGGTGTGTAGGAAAACTTCCTGCAGTGTGTGTTCACTTTGTACAGTTGTTCTATATTGTTTATATATAATATTAAATATCCATAAAATTAGTTAGAGGTAGTCCGTTTAAGACTATGATCAAATAGCCTAACAATTGCTAACAGATGTTTCCTTGCAACCAATTTAGATATTAAGTTATATTATATTTTAAATGAATAGTTTGACATTTGGGGAGATTTTTTCTTTCTTGACGATGAGAACAATCTCATAAGTCTGTAAATATGGTAAATAAATATGAAGCCACTGCTAGCAACCAGCCGTTAGCTTGCTAAACTGAAGTGCTCTTTATTGATTACATAAATGAGAAATAACAATTAGTGAGCTTTAGGCTAGATATTTCCTTTGTGCTTAAAAAACTTCTATATGATGCATCACAACTTACAACACTTTAGATGTGATGGAGACACATTTACAACTCCTTTGGTGGTCTGGGAGAGTCCAGAATGACTGAAAGACCACCATCTAGGTTACCATGGGGTTAATGACCCCCTACACACACACACACACACACACTGGCCACTTGCACCAGTTATTTAACAAAGACAGAGAGGAGAATGAAAGTGATGGAGACATGGCTTGAAACACACTCTATACTGTATTCCATCCAGTGCCACTACACCCACTGTCAATCTGCCAAGTCAGCTGAAGCACTGCAGCCATGACCTTTGACCCAGGAACTGAACGGCAGGGTAAAGGTTATCAAAGTCGGGGTTCTCGTTCTTAAAGCTAAACGTCCACACAGTGCAGGAGCCACACCTTGAGGAAGGAGCAGACGGTGTAGGAGATGGACATAAGCACTATATCAGCCTCTAGAACACACACACAGACACACACAAGACAGCCTCTCATCAGTGTTTTTGATCACATGACCATGGTAGGGGAGCAAACAGTGCATGGTTGTTTACCCTGCTTATCAGTGGTGTTGTAACAAGTAGAGGAACACACAGGCTGACCTCAGCGCACACACATGAAGAAACCTAACCCTGGGCAAATGCAAATGCAAAAAAAAGCCCTAAAAATCTAATGGTGTAGACACATATGTTCATTTATCAGCAAATTTTCTTTCTTTTAATAACCTTACTTGACATACCAAAGTTCATGCTAACAGAGATCTATATTCTAACACTTAGGGAAACCATGATAATGAATACAGATCATGAACTATTAGCTAACGTCACTAATAAATCTCCCTCAGCAACTCCTTAACTCTCCTCTGATCTCATCTGCCATAAAAAGAGGCTTGTCCTGTACAGTAACCATCACTTTTCAGAAGAAAAAGCACAGCCCC